GTCTCAGTTGTTCTTGTCAAGTTTAACTGATTGTAAACTTCCTCTCGTTCTGTAAAAGACTTATCAAAGTAAGCTTATTTTCTGCTCACCTTAACCAGTTTTCAAGTCTGTTTTTTAGTCTTGATTTGTCCTAAATCTCCAGATTTTCGATTTCAGTGAAAGACATCCGAGGTAAATTTCACTAAACTTGATATTGTATTGGATTATCTGTAGTTATCTTTCGTTTTTTAAGTAAAAGAGATTCAAAGCCTGAAACTGTCGGCCTGGGAAAGCTTTGTCGAAGAATCTTCAAAGAACAAAACTAGCTCCTGGGGGTGGTGGTGAGTTGTGTACAAAATTCCTAAGTGGGAGAGTATACTCGCGCAAAGAAAACAATGTAGTGCATTTCGATTCGATTTCACTGCATTGTTTTTATTATGGGAGAAATTATCTTGATCTCGAATAGAAAATAATTGAAAATTTTTTACCCCGATCTTATTCTTACCTTTCAGTTTCGCATGCAAATTGCTCTCCCTGTGACTTGCGAATCGGGAGCTCCGCTTTTAGGCAGTGCCTAAATATATATATTATTATTATTTCCCTCTATTAAATGCATTTTCCTAATAATTTTATTGTTAAAAAACCGTTCTCTGCATTTAATTTCACAGTCATCACCCACGAATGTAAATATTGATTATGAAATGGTACGTAAAATCGTTGTGAGTAAAGTAAAGTTCAAAGATAAAATAACCAAGAAGAAGTTTAGGTAGTCCCGTACGTCTATTGATGAGTGTTAATTACAAGAGTTTAGCGAATTAGAGTTATTTTATTATTTTGTCTCTCTCTCTCCATCTCTTCTCTTAGGCCAGGCAAACCACAAGTAATGGTAACCATCAGGGACGGGATAAAGCTAAGGTATGTTGTCCTCTTTTAGTTTCCTTTTTCCCCATTCTTCACACTTTTTTCTTTCTTTCTCTTTTTCTTTCTTTATAGTGATATTCAATTAAAAAAGGCGTGTTTATCATTTGTCTTTCAACCCCTTGTTTTTCCTTAATAACTTGTTAAACACATCTTACTTCTTGAAATAATAAAATTAATAATTAAGACACTGAAAAGGGATCGCATTTTATATCAAAAACCAAACTACTTCAGTGGCCCCCTTCCCTTCCCGGCGACTTTTATTTCTTTAGTGCAAAATATTGTGTGTTTCTGTGCTAATAAGCGTGTGCAAACGAATACACTGTTGAGTAAATCGGTTCTTTTATCCTTCGAGTAATTGTAATATTTTTTGAATTTTTTAGACTGAAATCGAAAGAGAGAAAATTCGAGTTATGCTACGACGTTACATAGAAAACGAAAGGAAAATAATGGGCCTGCCAAAATCTACTCTTGAACAGGAAATTGATATTGAAACTGCGGAAACTGGGATCGAGACTAACTATTCTCGACCACTGAACCAACATGATAACATAATGCCCATCAGCAAGTCAGAGACATCCCGTCATGGGAAAGAAATGATGAACTTATCTTTTACAGAAAACTAAAAACATCCACCAAAAAAGGCATGCATTTTACCATTAACATTATGATGTAATGCACACGCACTGATAATAAACATTGACATTATGATGTAATGCGCACGCACTGATAATAAACATTGACATTATGATCTAATGCGCACGCACCGATAATAAACATTCGCAATGTGATGTAATGCGCACGCAGTGATAGTAAACGTTAGGATTGTGATGTAATGCGCACGCACTGATAATAAACATTGCCTTTATGATGTAATGCGCATGCAGTGATAATAAACATTCGCATTGTGATGTAATGCGCACGCACTGATGATAAACATTAGGATTGTGATGTAATGCGCACACAGTGATAGTAAACGTTAGGATTGTGATGTAATGCGCACGCACTGAGAATAAACATTAGGATTGTGATGTAATGCGCACGCAGTGATAATAAACATTAGAATTGTGATGTAATGCACACCCAGTGATAATAAATATTAGGATTGTGATGTAATGCACACACAGTGATAATAAATATTAGGATTGTGATGTAATGCGCACGCAGTGATAATAAACATTAGGATGGTGAGGTAATACGCACGCAGTGATAATAAACATTAGCATTGTGATGTAATGCGCACGCAGTGATAATAAACATTAGAATTGTGATGTAATACGCACGCAGTGATAATAACCATTAGCATTGTGATGTAATGCGCACGCAGTGATAATAAACATTAGAATTGTGATGTAATGCGCACGCACTGATAGTAAACATTAGAATTGTGATGTGATGCGCACGCAGTGATAGTAAACGTTAGGATTGTGATGCAACGCGTACGCAGTGATAGTAAACGTTAGGATTGTGATGTGATGCGCACGCAGTGATAATAAACGTTAGGATTGTGATGTAATGCGCACGCACTGATAATAAACATTAGAATTGTGATGTAATGCGCACGCACTGATAGTAAACGTTAGGATTGTGATGTAATGCACACGCACTGATAATAAACATTAGGATTGTGATGTAATGCGCACGCACTGAGAATAAACATTAGGATTGTGATGTAATGCGCACGCACTGATAATAAACATTAGAATTGTGATGTAATGCGCACGCAGTGATAGTAAACGTTAGGATTGTGATGTAATGCACACGCACTGATAATAAACATTAGGATTGTGATGTAATACGCACGCACTGATAGTAAACGTTAGGATTGTGAGGTAATACGCACGCAGTGATAATAAACATTAGCATTGTGATGTAATGCGCACGCAGTGATAATAAACATTAGAATTGTGATGTAATGCGCACGCACTGATAGTAAACATTAGAATTGTGATGTGATGCGCACGCACTGATAGTAAACGTTAGGATTGTGATGCAACGCGCAACCAATGATAATAAACATTAGCATTGTGATGTAATGCGCACGCAGTGATAGTGAACGTTAGGATTGTGATGTTATGCGCACGCACTGATAATAAACATTAGAATTGTGATGTAATGCGCACGCAGTGATAGTAAACGTTAGGATTGTGATGTAATGCGCACGCACTGATAACAAATATTAGAATTGTGATGTAATGCGCACGCAGTGATAGTAAACATTAGGATTGTGATGTAATGCACACGCACTGATAATAAACATTAGGATTGTGATGTAAGGCATACCACTGATAATAAACATTTGCATTGTGATGTAATGCCTACACACTAATAAGAGGAGGGTGATCAAGTGGCACGTGACCTAATCGACCAATCACAATCATGATCACAGGCAACAACAAATATCACAAGAATTTCATAGTCGTAAAGAATCATTAATTTCCCCTCATATTACTTATCATAACCTCATGTTTTTTAACTGTCGCATGGATTAATAGCAGTAATTCCTGTACACCAAGTCTCGTTTCCAGATAAGACATATTTCTATGTAAATTTATAACATTAAGATGGCCATCGCTTTCACACGCTGACACTGAAGGTTGAAATATCGTGCATCTTTATCGCTTGTCGTCTGGCTTTACGATGGATAACATGTCTGTGTTTATAAATATTCTAAAGCTTTAATTCCTAATAATCAAAAATATAGAGGTGAACCCCGGTGAACCTCTTACCGTTTCAGAGTTATTCTGAATGTTGTGCATGGTACTATGTCACCTATCAAGCATATCTTGTCAAGATGGCGGGAATCACCCGCGTAACGCTAACATCCTTTTACATGAAAACACGGCACCACTAAATCGTTTCAGATAGGAAATGAAATCGTAATTTTGTTATTGTTTTATTTTATTGATTTCTTATTGATTCAATTGGAAAATCTATCGTCAGAATACTGAGAATTGTCAGAATCTGAGACTTGTCATCGACCCCGGCTCACAAGTCGACCGTTGTTATTATGCGTTACTTTGTGTGCTGTTACTTTCTACATGTGCATTTTCAATAATCAAAACTTTCCTGTTTGAGCCAGTGGAAATATAAGGGGAAAATACTGTCATGTTCGCGGAATATAAGTATAATATAAACTAAAATAATTATATACTATTAATTTAAAATGCAAAGTTTATCAATTTATCATAACCTTTAAAAGACTTTAAACTTCAATATTGACCCTGAAACAATAAGAACGCTTTATAATTATTCGAAACGAGAAGTTTCCATGATAAGAACATAAACTTGACAAGAAATGAATTAAGAATGAATGTATGTAATGAAATGAATGGTTTTAGGAGATATTTTTGAAGAGAAAAATCGGTTCAAGGTTTGTCATCTTAGTCGCCGGGTATGTGGTTTCAAGCCGATTGCGGTTGTTTGGATGCTCGATGTTCTAGCTCAATCAATCGCGTTTGAATAAAGTTATCAAATTAAATATCCACCACTTAGCACTATTTTGCAGCAACTAACAGCCCTTATGGTCAAAGGCCCTCTTTTCTCATTTAGTTCTCGGATTTTTTGGCAGTCATGAACCAAAACAATCTTCAGTCGTTCGCGAGGGTTGTCGGTGAAGCTAACTTGGCCCCCAACTAGTTTTATCGACATAAATGGCAGAGACTTCACCGTACAAGTATGTAGAAATTGAAATTTTGCACAGTATAGATATAGGAAAACACTAACTGCAAGAAAATTCACACCAAACCGTTGAGACAGATTTGACATTCATAATACTTTCTCGCCAGGAGATGTTCACACAACGATAGTCAAATGCAAATGAAGCACAATGAAACTTTTAACCCACAATGCTTCACGCGACTTGATCACCCTCCTCTGCACTGATAGTAAACATTAGAATTGTGATGTATTGTGCACGCACTGATAATCAACAATTGCCATTGTGCCAATGGGCACGAGTGAAAAACGTCATACTCTAAATCTGTATGCAAATTATTCAAAACGTATTTATGCTATTATAAATTTGAATTTCTAGCATGGCAGACAATTGGACTTCACAAAATGCCAAAACTTAGTATCCATGCTCGAAACGTAGGCTAATTCTTTCATCTTGGTTTCACAAAAGTTTACTCGCGAAATTGTTCGTTTACTCGGAAAAAAACGAGCATTTATTTTCTCTCTAAATTCTTCTAAATTCTTAGAAAAAGTGCTGAAAGGCACGCATGCGCAATTTTTTTCTCTTAATGTCCTGATTATAAATTTTAGGGTTGTGCACTCAAAATAAACATCAGGATTGCGATGATAATAAACATTACTTTAGTAATTTATGACACCACTATTCTAGAGGTGCAAGAGAACGGCCAACAAAGTAACAATCAAACTGCTGTAGAGAGTCTTTCCAGACAGTCTCTCTCCAATGACTTCCAACTCAACGAAAGCAAGTGTAAAGAGATCAGGATCTGTTTTGCAAAGAAGCAGGCTATTAACAACTCTGTAGTAGTAAACGGCAAGCCCCTTGAAGTAGTTTCTAGTGCTAAAATCCTGGGACTGAATATTAGTAATGATCAAAAATATAGGACTGAACGTTGCAAGAACAGTTTTATTCTAAGTCAATAATAACTAGATATTTAAATGAAATTACAATCAAATTTTTAATTTATATTTTGTAATGAGTTTTGTTTTTTTTTGCATGAAATTTTACATATAGTCTTTATTCGTTTTCAAATTGTATAATAGTATTTGTAAGCTAGAAGTAATTCAGGCTATGTTCTTAGTCAATAAACTATCTATCTTATCTTGTCCTTGTCTTATTCCTTGACTTTAAATTGTAGACCGCTTGAGATTAGTACTTTTTTTTCGATGAGTGTTTTTTTCGCTTCCGTAAATCAGAAAATAACTAGTTGGAATATTTTGTATTGTTTACCGGCTGCAGTAAAGAAAAAAAATTCCAATAGGCAACTCGCAACTGCAGAGTTGATCTTTTCTTTAAAATTGCAGCAAAATCATGAAGGACTATATAGAGCGTCGTAACTCGTGCATCGTCCGCAAAAGCTTAATATCCGCTTACTTTTTAATGTCTTTTTAAATATTATTATTATTATTATTCTGCAAATTCTAGGTTGGTGATTAGCCTTTCCGTAAACGACGAAGGGACTGGGAACAAGTGTATAAATATTAACCTAATTGAAAAACAAACCCCATCACATGAAATATCACACTAAAGTTATTGAGGTTATCGATTTCTAGAATATTTGGGCGAATACTGGTCGATTAAACAAGCCCTAAAAATAAATTCTAATCTGGGTCGAATAATATACCAAGATATACTTCTCAACACGGCTGTTACTTCAGACATACGACTCATTCGATATCTATTCCCTATGGATCCTCCGCAACACCTCCCGTTACGGCCCCATGCTATACCGTGAGATAGGATAAAGGACTTTCAATTTGGCATTTATTCAATTAATTTGAATCGTCCTGGCTCGTGAAAACACACGTATGAACAACGAGAAGAAGAACGAGAAAATCTAAATGGTATTAAATAAAGATAAGAGCTAAAAAAAAAAAAAGAAAAAAAAAAAGCTCATAAACTTACAAATTACTGCTCCGCAGCATCTATTTATATATCATCTATATATATGTGCATCTAGATGCGTCGATGACTTGTATATATCTATTGTTCAAGTGGAAAATCTTTTTACGAGCTCTAGATAATATATACCGTGAGAAAATCAAACACTACAATATCAAATGTTTACTCTATATCCTGGATATAAGTTCTTTATTCCTAGTCTTTGATCAGTGTATTTGTTTTTCTTATACTTTTTTCTCATTGCAATTGTTCTTGGGGTCCATATGGTTTCTTCCACGATAATCCACGATAATCCACTCTTTATTCTTCTTGTCTATGATCTGATTGTCTGATATATGATCTATAATAATAATGATGATAATAATAACAATAATAATAATAATAATAATAATAATAATAATAATCAAGGAGACTTACTATCACCACTGCTGTTCTGTTTGGCTCTGACACCACTTAGCCCCATGCTAAATAGCACAGGATGTGGGTACGACATTGAAAAAGTGAAAGTTGACTATCTCTTTTATGTAGACGATCTTAAACTGTATGCAAAAGATGACGACCATCTTCAAACACTTCTTCACACTGTGCACCACTTCAGTAACGACATCAACATGGAATTTGGTCTCGCCAAATGTGTCAACGCCACTTTCAAGAAAGGTAAACTAACAAAGAAATCGAACATTTAATTTGATATTGACACAGTCATTAAAGAACTTGACCGAGAGAAAACCTACAAGTACCTTATTCTTGTGATAGGTCATCTACAAATAGGCTGTGTGTAATTTTGATAGTCTTGTCATGAGAAAGAGTGTAACCCTCATTGGACCGTAAATACCAAGCTATAGGATTAAGACATAAATTGAATAATGTTACGCAAAAATAGTCTCCTTGTAAAATTCCTCGGTTGATGTTAACTGGACCTATTGTTATTTGACTTTCTGCAGTTTGTACATAGAGTGTAGTTTTCCAGGTCTTAATTATTATAGCAATGAAGGACGTAAGTATTCTGTTTATTTCATGATCTTGTAGAACTGTAAGTAATCATGTATGAGATACACTGTCAAATGCATTCTTCACATCCACACAAAGACAAGAGATTTTCTTGTTTTTACTAGCGTCTTCCCAGATTGCTTTATCCATCAAGAGGTTATCAACGCACGCATGGAGCCCTTGACTCCTCCTCTCTGATCGAGTTGCATAAAGTTGTAGTTAGTCATGCAGGTGTTCTTGCAGGTAGTTATTAATAAGTGATGTAATTAGCTTGTGCATTGTGTTTAGACATGCTATGGGTCTAAATTATTGTGCGCTTGTAGGGTTGTCTTTCTTGGGTAACATTCTAGTCCGTCCCAAACGCCAAAAACTAGCCTTAAAACGCATCGGACGAAGAAATAACACTCAAATTTCATGAAGTGAATGACTAAACTTTATTTTGAAGGCATTTAATTCTTGGGAAGTCTTCAGAAGATGTATTTTTGAGAAGCTGAAATCACTCGATAATTCAAAATTTTATTAACGGGCGAACTCCACAAGAGACCAAAGGGAGCCCACACATCCGAAACCACAGATACTTCGGATGGTAAGCCTGTGCTTTGCTCAATGACAAAGCTACCAAGTCTATGAGCGCAGGGATGGAAACCATTCAACTGTGCAGTACAAAAATATCGTTCATCCAATCAGATCGGCGAACGACTTTTTTTCACGGTGAAAAAACGTC